CACGAAGCTGCTGGGCCGACGGTGTCTCACGGGAACGCGGCTGCTGCTGGCGCTGGCTACCACCGAAGCCTCCACGCTGCGCGGCTGCACCTCGACCAGCACCACCGCCGCCGCCACCTCCACCACCGCTGCCGCTGCCTCCACCACCTCCGCCGCTGCCTCCACCACCTCCACCGCCGCCACTGAAGCCCCCACTCCCGGCTCCACCCCCACCTCCACCGCCACCCCCTCCGCCTCCTCCACCGCCTCCGCCGCCGCCCCCGCCGTCCCCTCCACCACCCTTGCTCCCCTTGCCCTTGCTGTTGCGGCGCCTCCCACTAGGGGCAGACGCAGCTCCAACCTCCTCAGTGCCAACGAGGTCGACAGCAGCAGCAGAAGCAACAGAGGGGAGAAGGGGGACAGGGGAACACCCCTCAAAGAAAGGGGTGCGACGGTCGCCGCGAGAAGCATCTACAGCTAAGATACTCTTCTCAGCTGCAGCGAGGCGCTCCTCTAGCAGGTCGACAGTGAGCTCGGTGGGGCAAAGGGAGAGAAAGTGGTCCCTGACTGAAGAAAGGGAGTCAGGGAGGCGGGTGACTAGGTAGTAAAGGGTGATGTACATGGGGGGGGGGTTCTTGGCACAGAACTCAGTGGGAAGGGCAGCGCGGTAGCGGGCGTCACTAGTGCGGAGGTGAGCAGTGAGGTCAGCAACTGTGGCAAAAGCAGCAAGGTCAGGGAAAAGGTAGGGCAGCATGAGGCGGCTGAGGGCAGCAGTGGCATGGGAGGAGTAGCGCGCAACTACAGCGTCGTACAAAGACGTAGCCGTCTTGTACTGGCCAAAATGCACGCGCTTAGCAGGCGGCAGGTGACTACGAACAGCAAGACGAGCAACACCGTCACGAGTGGTCCACTGTGAGCGAACCGTACTGTCAGCAGTGGCAGTAGGAGCAGTAGAGACACCGGACGTGTGATCGAAAAGGGAGACCCCATCCCTAGAGTCACACTGAAGAAAGAGCTGCATGTCGTCAACCCACACATCAAAGTCAACTGCACGCCCCTCAGCGTGAAAGGTGAGAACAGTAGGGCTAGCCATAGCGGCAGTAGCAGCAGTGGCAGCAGTAGCAGCAGTGGCAGCAAGGGCAGCAGTAGCAACAGGAGCAGTGCAGGTAGGGCAGTGCAGCTCAGTGGGGCGGCGCGGCTCGGCTGGGCGGCGCGGCTCGGCTGGGCGGCGCGGCTTGGCTGGGCGGCGTGGCTCGGCTGGGCGGCGCGGCTCGGCTGGGCGGCGCGGCTCGGCTCCTGGCGGCGCGGCGCAGCAGGGCGGCGCGGGTGCTTACCAGGGGCGGGTGCAGGCAGGGCCGCGACTGGGGCGGCAGCAGGGCAGGGCCTCAGCGGGCGGCTGCAGGGCAGGGCCACAACGGGCGGCGAAGACAGGGCCGCGATAGGGCAGCAGCAGGGCAGGGCCAGCGACGGGCAGCGACAGGCAGGGCCGCAACAGGCCAGCGACGGGCCAGCGACGGGCGGCGACGGGCCAGCGACGGGCGACGACGGGCCGGCGACGGGTCGGGACGGGCCGGGACGGGCCAGTGGCGGCGGCGAAGGCAGGGCCGCGGGGCAGGGCCGCAGCAGGCGGCGAAAACAGGGCCGCGACGGGCGGCTTGGGGCCAGCGACGGGCGGCTAAGGGCCGCGACGGGCGGCTAAGGGCCGTGACGGGCCTCAAAGGCAGGGCCTCGACGGGCCTCTAAGGCAGGGCCGCGACGGGCGGCACTAGGGTAGGGCCGCGACAGGCCTCTAAGGCAGGGCCGCGACGGGCCTCTAAGGCAGGGCCGCGACGGGCGGCACAAGGGCAGGGCGCGCGACGGTGCAGGTGAAACAGGCGCGAGGCGCGCTTCGGGCAGGGTAGGAAAAAAAAAAAATCGTGGTGGGCCCTAAAAGAAACGTTCCCACTAGGGAAACTGCTCAGAATACCATGTTGAAGTGTGAACGAATGAATGACTAAATTAGCAAGCAGGTGGGTACAAGTGGGAAACCTCAAAGTGTTGTACCCTATATGAACTACCCCACTACAGCCTAGATAGACTATAGCATATAAGTTTGACATTGTGACCACTTGTTCTCCCCCACTTTGCCTATGGGGGTGTGTCAAAATGTTATAGTGCTTACATTGTGTAGGTTGTAGTGGGGTAGCCGATAAGGGGTACAACCCAATCAGGGTTAGTACTTGTACCCAAATCTTTCATAGTTCATATATTCTCGTTCGTTATTTCTGACAGAAGCCAGTCAAGGGCAGGGTCGTCAACGACGTAGGCCAATCGAACCGTGTCAATAAGCTGAGCAAAGCAATGACCCGGTGGGTGGCTGCGGCCACAAGGCTGGCTGTGGCGGGATCCTGTCAGAACGTGATAGGTGTAGGGAGGGTGGACGACACTGCACTGTAGCTGACGCTATCCTGACCCCTGCCCCGAAACCTGCTGCTGACGCTGCTGCTGCTGTGGCTGCTGCGAGGGGAGGGGCTACTGCTGCTGTCGTTGAGTCAGGTACCACGCCGCTGCTCCACCCCCTGCGGCTGGCAGACCAGTGGGTGGCTGACGAACCCGGGTGTCACCTCCACCAGCTGCAGCAGGGGAGTCACCGGCCGCTGCACGAGGCACTCCTTCAGCGCCTGCACTCCCGCCGTCGCCGCTCGCTACGTCACCCCCACCGCCTTCGCCGCCTCCGCCCGCATCCTGACCGCCCCTCCTTCCACTCCTACCCCGAGACCGCGAAGAAGTCGTAACAGCAGCTGCGGTCATGTCAGTAGTGGCAGTGGCGAGGGAGGCAGTAAAGGTGGGCAGTTGAGGGACAGTGCACCCGTGGAACAGTGGAGGGGGCACAACACCAGAGGCAGAGGCTACCGAGCGGAGGTTGCTCTCGACGTCCTTGAGGGCCGACTCAAGGACCTCGATAGTGAGCTCGCTAGGGTGCTTCAGAAGAAGCGCGTCACGAACCGAGGCAAGGCGGTCAAGGAGGCTAGTGGCGATGAAATAGATAGTAATCGCCATGGGGGGAGGGAGCAGTGCAAGCTGTGCGTCAATGCAAGCAGCGCAGTAGCTAGAATCGAGCGAGCGCAGATGAGTGATCAAGTCAGCAGTGCACTCAAACGAGGCGAGGTCAAGAAACAGGAACGGAAGGAAGAGGCGACCAAGAGAGACAACGGTGGGAGTAGCGTAGCGGCCCTTGATCGCAGTCAGGAACTCACTAGCCGTGCGAACCTGAGTGAAGTGGGTCTCCTCAGACTCAGGGAGGAGGCTGCTGAGGGCGATGCAGGCCGCAGCGTCACGCGATTTCCACGCTGTCACGTCAGCATGCTCGCGTGCATAACGGTCATTGTCTGGAGGTGTGGGGTCAGCTGCTAAGGGTGCAGGGTCAGCTGGCTCAGGTAGGTCACCGGAAGCGTGCGCCCACAGAGTCTTGTGTGCCTGAACCTGGCTCTCTAGGAGGCGGCGCGCACGCAGGAGCCAGACCGAGAACTCGAGCGGCCTACCCTCAGCGTCAAAACGCAGGACCCTAGGGGTCGCCATAGCGGAAGCGTAGAGGTGGATAATGCTGCTGCCGAAACCCTAAACGCCTAAAGGGCCTGCGTAGGGCGAGACAGACAGTGCGACACGACGGGACGGACGCGACCGGCTGGGACGGGCGCGACAGGCGCGGACGAGCAGGGCGCATGGGGAGCGACGGACGGGCAGGGCGCAGCGGGGGCGCGACGGACGGGCAAGGCGCACGGGGCGCGACGGACGGGCAGGGCGCACGGGGCGCGATGGACGGGCAGGGCGCACGGGGCGTGACGGACGGGCAGGGCGCAGCGGGGGCGCGACGGATGGGCAGGGCGCATGGGGCGCGTGCGACGGGACGGGACGGTAATCGCGACGCGGACGGGACGGGACAGGACGGACGGCGCGACGCGGCGGGACAGAAGGGGGGCGACGCGACGGGACAGCAGGGACGACGGGACGGGACGGGACAGCAGGGACGACAGGACGGGACGGGACAGAAGGGGGCGACGCGACGGGACAGCAGGGGCGACGGGACGGGACGGGACAGCAGGGGCGACGCGACGGCAGGGGCGACGGGACGGGACAGCAGGGGCGACAGGACGGGACGGGACAGCAGGGGCGACGCGACGGCAGGGACGACGGGACGGGACGGGACAGCAGGGGCGACGCGACGCAGGCGCAGCGGGCGCTAGGGCACGAGAGAGACGAGCGCGAGAGGTGCTAGGGGACAATACGGGCGTAACGGGCACTAGGGTACAGGACAGGCTCGGGCGCTACGGACGTGAACGAGAGGAACGGGATCCTACAGGATCCTAACCTAGCTGATACCATGTCAAGAATGAAAGTGTTTTTTTTTACTAAGGTTGGTTGGGGTAGATAAACCTAACCCTAACAGTTGTACCCCCTATAACACACATCACTAAGACTACAACATTTGACACCCCTGCACCCCTCTTGCCGCCCAACTGCCACACATGTCTGCTAGCATGCTGCCAGCGGCGTATTTATACTTCGTAGAATCAGATTCAACTTACCGGTATGCTCTACTGTGTATTTGGCTAAATCAGACTGTGAAAATAAATTAGTGTGAAAATTCAGACATGGCCTCAACATTCGTCTGACAAATCAGACAAAAAAAAATTGCCCATCTGAACGTCAAACGAAACCTTTTCAAAAAAAAAAAATCAGACGGGCCTAAATAATAGCAAGAGCCCTGCTAGGAGCGCCTTGTTCCAAGAGATGTTTGTCGGGTGCAGGGGGTGATCATAATGAGCTGGGAACTGTTTGTTTGCTTGCTCTCGTTTCTGTCTAGTTGGGTATGAAAAAATCATTCCCCACATGACACACATTTTGAAGGATCTTGGGTTTTAATACTACACATGTTCATAATCGGTTTCCAGAACCACCAAAGCGCTCACACAATCACTGTACTCACAGAATATGTACACACCACATACCCATCAGTGCTTAGTAGATCTTCCAACAGTGCACTATGCAGCAAGTGGTCCCTCCCTGCGGTGGAACACACATGTGACATGTCAAACTGGCACAAGGTGCCTCACAAGGAAAGGGCGAACATCATTATGTTGCTGATTGAGGCGTGAAAAAATTCCCACTTGCAGCACCAGCAGCACTGGCAGCGACGGCAGCACCAGCTGCACTGCCAGCACCAGCAGCATCACCAACACCAGCAGCACCACCCACCAACACCAGCAGCACCACCCACCAACACCAGCAGCACCACCCACCAACACCAGCAGCACCACCCACCAACACCAGCAGCACCACCCACCAACACCAGCAGCACCACCCACCAACACCAGCAGCACCACCCACCAACACCAGCAGCACCACCCACCAACACCAGCAGCACCACCCACCAACACCAGCAGCACCACCCACCAACACCAGCAGCACCACCCACCAACACCAGCAGCACCACCCACCAACACCAGCAGCACCACCCACCAACACCAGCAGCACCACCCACCAACACCAGCAGCACCACCCACCAACACCAGCAGCACCACCCACCAACACCAGCAGCACCACCCACCAACACCAGCAGCACCACCCACCAACACCAGCAGCACCACCCACCAACACCAGCAGCACCACCCACCAACACCAGCAGCACCACCCACCAACACCAGCAGCACCACCCACCAACACCAGCAGCACCACCCACCAACACCAGCAGCACCACCCACCAACACCAGCACGGCGGGCAACAAAGACATGCTATCGGCGCATGACTCACTTCCTCTCCCGCTTCCTGAACCTCTACAGAATGAGATCACCTGTTGCTGCCAGCTGTGTCTGACTTTACCACCACCGCGCCTACCCCACCTCTCCACCCTAGCACCACCGGCAGCACTGGCAGCAGCCCTAGCAGCAACAGCACGGGTTCAGCATGAACACACTACCGGCGCATGACTCGGTTCCTTTCCCGCTTCCTGAACCGCTCCAATATAAGATCATCCGTTGCTGCTTGCCGCCTCTCCCCTCCCCCTCTCCCCCCACCACCTCCACCCCCATACCCACCACCACCCCCGTACCCACCCCCGCCCCCATACCCCCCTCCGCCCCCATCTCCCTGCTGATACGGATCCCCCCCACCGTAACCCCCTCCTCCTCCCCTCCCCCCTCCGCCTCCCCTGCCCCCACGGCCTCCCCCTCTCGAGTCTCGAAACATGTCGGGGTTGTCTGCAACGGAGGGGACGAGTGGGTAACATTGGGCAAGTCAGGTGAATTGTGGCTCGACAGGGTAACGGGAATACCTTCACCCCTCCGCCTCCTCTTCTCCCCCTTCCTCCACGGCCTCCCCTTCTTGAGGCTCGGAACATGTAGTAGTCTGCAATGGAGGGGCCAAAGGGAGGGGAGAACGAGAAGGGAAATCTTAAAATGGCTGTGGTATGGACCTCCCCTTCCTCCTCCGCCTCCCCTTTTTGAGGCTCAGAACATGTCGGGGTTGTCTGCATGGAAGGGACAGCGGGGGGAACAAGAGGAGGGGACATGGGGGGCATGTTGTTAGCTGCGTGGAGGCATGGAAGGAAGTGTGGTGGGAACATGTCAGGGAAAGGGATTGGACGAGATGAGGGGAGCAAGAGAAAAAGGGGGAGTATTAGGTCTCCCCTTCCCCCTCAGCCTTTTTCCCTTGAGTCCCGAAACATGTTTGAGATTGTCTGGAATGGAAGGGAGGAGGGGAGGGGACGAGGAATACGATTGAAAGGATTTGTTGAATTGTGAGACGAATGGGTTCCGCTCCTGTAATGAAAATTATGTAAATGAAAATAATGTAGATGAAAATGATGTAGATGCAGCGCAATGCACTGAAAGGGCACGTACCCCTTTTAAGCTTCTCCGCATATTCACGACCGCGCTGAAAGAAGTCTGCACTGTAGCTGGCAGGCAACGTGGTGGACGGAGGGCTGGAGGGAGGGAGAAGAGGCAGAGAACAGAAAAACGGGTACAGAAACGGGAGAAACAGGCAGATAAAAAAGCAGCATGAAGAAATGGGTGAGGCGCTTGAGAAAGGCCGGACCGGAAGGACGAGAATCGGCAGACATATGGGAATAGGCAGTTCCAAAAACAATGTGACTTTTCAGGCAACTCAAACTTCCTGTAAAGCAGTTGATAAACAGGGTGGATGGGAATAGGCGGAACCAAACAAACCTGCAGGTCGATATTGAGAGCATGTGTTTTTCAACAGCGCCCCTTGCTTGAGAAATGGGGTGGAAGGATGGGAATAGACAGTACCGAACAAAAACTAAACTAAACAAAAACAAACTTCACTGTTCCCTCTCCCCCCATCTCCATCCCGCCCTTCCCTCCATTCCCATTTCCAATTCCCCCTCCCCAAGGAAGAAACAGGCCATACCGCGGGCGATTCATCCACGGCCTTCTCTCCTGCATCATGCACGTTGGTGACTTCTGGGTTGACTAAGTCAACGCCCATGCACCCCCCCCCCCTATCCCCCCCCTCCACCCACAAGAAACAGACCATACCGCGGGCGATTCATCCACGGCCTTCTCTCCTGCATCATGCACGTTGGTGACTTCTGGGTTGACTAAGTCAACGCCCATGCACACCCCCCCCCCTCCCCCCCCCTCACCCACAAGAACAAGCCATACCGCGGGCGGTTCATCCACGGCCTTCTCTCCTGCATCATGCGCTTGGCCTCCTCTGTGGCTTCAATGTTGCCCAGCTTGTAGCTGGAACCAAGATTGAGGCACGGGGGGACACGAGGAGGGGGGACAGGAGGAGGGGAGGGGGATCAGGTGATGCAGCATGCGCTTCGCTTCCTCCGTGGCCTCGACGTTGCCCACCTTGTAGCTGGGAGGAAGATTGAGGCATGGGGAGCGAAGGGGAGGGGAAAGAGGGGAGTAGAGGGGGGTGGTCAGATGATGCAGCATGCGTTTGGCCTCCTCTGTGGCCTCGATGTTGCCCAGCTTGTAGCTGGGGGCGTGGGCGAGACAGGGGGGAGAAGAGGGGGAGGGGGGAGAAGAAGAGAAGGGGGAGAGAGTCAGATGATGCAGCAAGCGCGTGGCATCCCGTCATTTGAGACGTCTCAAAAGTCAGATGATGCAGCAAGCGCTTGGCATCCCATCATCCATGCCATTCCGCCCTCCTCGGTTACTTTCTGTGCAACTCGATCTCAACTCAACTCAACTCACCACCACTAGTTCCCAACAGATCTCTCAATTTCATTCCTTCGCCCAACTCACTCGATAGGCAGCTGCACCTCTGCTATGCCCGTCGTCCACGCCGTGCCGCCCTCCTCGCCCTCCAGCTTCTCCACCTGCACACAGAATTGGAGGAAAGATTGAGAAGGGGGAGGAGGTGGAGATACCATGGAAGGAAGAAAAGGGGAGGAAGAAAATTCGCGGCAACACATGCTGCTGGCGGCCCTTACTGTGCTGTGCTGCCTCCTCCCCCTCCAGTTTTTCCGCCTGAGAACGAGCGTGGAGGAAGCGCAATGGGAGAGTGGGGGAAGAGGTGGAGGGGATATCTCGGGAAGGAAGGAGGACTATGACGGGACGGGAGCAAAGCAAAAGCAATAGCAAGGCACACTGCTGCTAAATGAACCTGCCCGTTACCGTAGGCGCATTTCCGATCCGATATGCGTACGACGCACAATGCATGTATGTCATAGTCACCTGCTGAAACAAGTGAGGAACGCCATCGACTACAGTACACAAACAGTCATCATAATCGCCACCAGGTGGGGTACAGTAAAACTTCGTTACAGTCACCTGCATCCATGCTTCACACATTCGCTATAATCACCTGCAAGTGCTGTGGAATTTCATACAACTTGTCTTCAGCCCGCAACCCCTCCTCCTCCCCCTCCCCCTCCCTTGCGTTGCCTTAACATTCGTTAATAGCATTCACTACAATCACCTGCAAGTGCTGTGGAATCTCATACAACTTGTCTTCAGCCCGCAACCCCTCCTCCCCCCCCTCCCCCTCCCTCGCCTTGCCTTAACATTCGTTGATAGCATTCACTATATTCACCTGCAAGTGCTGTGGAATCTCGTACAGCTTGTCTTCAGCCCGCAACACTTCATCCTCCCCCTCCACCTCCCCCCTGCTGCCCCCAGCTGCTCCCGCCCCTCCCCCTCGGCGCTTCGCCAGTTCCTCCTCTATGTACTTGAGCCTGGGGAGGGAAACAAGACAAGGGTGTGGGAGGGAGGGCACAAGTCACAAGTGTATTGTGAGTCACAGCATGGGGCGGGGCAGGCCTGGGGCATGCTGACTCAGCACCCCCTCGGCAGGGAGGGAACGTGTCCTGTAGCACCAGGTCCTTCCCTCCTTCCCCTGGGGTGTTTTGAGTCGACTCAACAAAACATACAGTCACGTACATGTTCGGATCTTCTACAGTAAACGTGTCCTGAAAAACCAGCTCCTCGCCCCCTTCCCTCCCTCCTCCCCCCCCCCCCCCCCCTCCAATCAATACACTCCCATCTTGTTACAGTCCCGTCTCGTTACAGTCCCATCCCGTTACAGTCCCATCTCGTTGCAGTCCCATCTCGTTACAGTCCCATATCGTTACAGTCACGTACATCTTTGGATCTTCTACAGTAATAGCCATCTCCTGCGCAAATGTGTCCTGAAACATACAGTCATGTACATGTTCGGATCTTCTACAGTGATTGCCGTCTCCTGCGCAAACGTGTCCTGTAGAGCCAGCTCCTCCCCGCATTCACCCTTCCCCCCCCCCCATCATTACACTCCATTCTCGTTACAGTCACATCACGGTACAGTCACGTACATGTTCGGATCTTCTACAGTAATCGCCGTTTCCTGCGCAAACGTGTCCTGTAGAACCAGCTCTTCCCCCCCTTCCCCTTCCTCCCCCCGCCTCCCCCCCATCATTACACTCCCATCTCGTTACAGTCCAATCTCTTTACAGTCACGTACATGTTCGGATCTTCTACAGTGATTGCCGTTTCCTGCGCGAACGTGTCCTGTAGAACCAGCTCCTCGCCCCCTTCCCCTTCCTCCCCCGCCTCCCCCTGCGCCCCCGCGCCTCCTCCCCCCTTCCCCTCCGCCCCTTCCGCGCCTGTGAGAGCCCCGTCTGCTGCAATCCCCTTGAGGCGCACGCGCTGCTGCTGCAAAAGACGCACTTCCTCTAGGGCGGAGCTGCAGGGGGGGAGATGGGGGGTGTGGTGGGGGGGGGAGGGGAATGGGGATGGAGAAGGGGAGGGGAAGGGGCGGGAGGGGTGAAGGGGCAGTGGGGTTGAGGCGCACGCGCTGCTGCTGCAGCAGACGCACTTCCTTCAAGGCGGACCTGTGGGTTTGTACGCGAAGGGGATGGGATAGGATGGGATGGGATGGGGAAAAAGAGAAGGGAGAGGATCAGCGACCTGTCTGCTGCAATCCCCTTGAGACGCACGCGCTGCTGCAGCAGCAGACGCACTTCCTCTAGGGAGGACCTGTGGAGATGGAGAGGGGTTGGGAGCGGTAAGGGGCTGTTTGCAGGGACACATTGTGTGTGGGGCAACAGGAGGACAGGCGCACGCGCTGCTGCTGCAGCAGGCGGACTCTAGGGCGCAACTGTGGAGTTCGCACAAGAAGGGGGCCGGGGGAGGTGAGGGGGAAGGGGGAGAGGGGGAAGGGGGAGAGGGGATGGGGGGAGGGGAAGCAACGGGCGAAGCGGATGGCGCGAGGCGATGCCTTAGCGTGGATTAAGGAGAGCGCTGGGCCGGTGAGCGACGGACGACTCGGCAAGGAAATGGCTATGAGGATGAGAACGTCTTTCCGTTGCATGAATTTACATTCCGTTGCATGAAACGTTCGAGCATGAAATGGATCAGAGCGATTCCACAATACCGTCTCAGCTGTACGCACAGTGTGCCCGAACCTCACAGTCGGAGGCCGAACTTATCTTCGAAACGCATCCCGGCCGAACCTAGAACTGGTTAAAAATTAGGTACGGTCAGGCCTAGGCACGGTCAAACCTAGGTGCGGTCAAGAATAAGGACAAATCTAGGTACGGCTAACCTAAGTACGGCGGAAACTCGGACTAGCGTGTACCGGACGTCCCTCTGCTCCTCGGGCTCCCCTCCGCCACCCCCAGCCTCTCGCTGCTACCAGTGCTACGATCCATGGAAGTGCGGCCAAATCAATGTACGCTCAAAATTAAGGACGGACGAAACTGAGTCAAGCGCGTACCGGGCGTCCTTCTGCTCCTCGGGCTCCCCTCCGCCATCTCCTGCCTCTCGCTGCTACCAGTTCTACGGTCAATGTAAGTGCGGGTTAACCGTAACGAGAAACGAAGGGCGTTCAAGCGCGTACCGTACGTCCTTCTGCTCCTCGGGTTCTCCTCCGCCATCCCCGTCCTCCTCCTCGAGCGCTTTCCGCTTCCGAAACTGCCGCTTCTGCTGCACCGGCATGGTGTCGCACGATGCGATCGCAGAAAGACGCGTCGCGGGAAAACGTGCGTCGCAGGGAAGCGTCGCCGGGAAACGTGCGTCGCAGGGAAGCGTCGCAGAAAATGCGCGTCGCAGCGAAGTTTGCGTCACCGAAAAAAGTAGTGAGTATGGCAATTAACGATGCTGACTAGCGCACAAAGCGGACACAAGAATCCGAGAAAGCAAACCCTAAAATTACACCACTCAAGACGGCCCTTTTGTTCGAGTGATCCCTTATTTCAAACACATGAACCAGAAGGATAGAGAGTGTTCAAGGGCGACAGATGCGCGACCGTTTCGTCATAACGAGCGCGAAATGGGGTTGGGGTGGTGGGAGTTGCACGCATCTACTTGAGTTTGCTGGTAACATCTTAGGGTTCGCTTTCGTCAACGATCTGACGGTTTCAAATTTTCAGTCCCAAAGTCAAAATATGGGACAAGTGAAATTTACCTCGGCCAGCCTGCACACTTCCAAGTTTCGTTTGTTTCAATTCCGTGTCACCCCTCCGTGTTATCAAGGCCGCAAACCAGCGCCCTTTCTGGCACCGCGATATTCTCAAAGGCTGACAATCAAGCTAAGAAGCAGCATAACTTGCACCAGCCATGCACGCGACAGCACCCCCTCCGTCCGTCAACAATGCCGTCGCCGGCTTGACGCATTCCCGTTCGCCGGCGGCCGCATCGTCGCCGTCCGTCCGAAACCGTCAGATAGGCGGCGCAGCCGCATCCGGCGCCATGACAAGTCGCGCCGCTCTTGCGGCCCCAGCATACGCCATGGCGGTCGGCGTCGCGTGCGTCTCTCTCATTAATAATTGTACTAAAGCGGCTTATGTTTGCACGAATAAAGCGCGCGTATACGAGGCGTCGCGAAAGCAGACCGGTAGTTTAACGCCGTTTAGACTCGTCCGCGAAGGACGGAGAGGATCAAAGCGAATGATTGCGGCGGCAGCAGCCGACGGAGCCGCAGCTTCTGCGGATGTGACTGAAGCGGATGTGAGTGAAGCGGATGCTGCGGCGGTGGAGGCAGCCGCGTGGGAGATTCTGGACGACTTTAATCGCCGAGACGTGCGCGGCGAATCGCAGGTAGGTTCAAACGTGCGGTTCGAGTCGCAGGTAAGTTTAAACGTGCGGGGCGAATCGCAGGTAGGCGCGCCAAGACACCCGCACATAATGGCTATGATTGCGTCCACCCCACATTCATTGCCGCCCACCCCACTCCCATTGCCACCCACCCCACCCCCATTGCCGCCCACCCCACCCCCATTGCCGCCCACCCCACCCCCATTGCCGCCCACCCCACTCCCAATGCCGCCCACCCCACTCCCATTGCCGCCCACCCCACCCCCATTGCCGCCCATCCCACCCCCATTGCGGCCCCCATCCCCATCGCCCCCCACCCCCTTCTTTTCTTGCTAGTCAGGAGGCATCCCTAGGGGCCGCATTCCAGCCCTCGAGCCTTCTCTCTGCTCTGCACTCACACATCACCCTCAGCCGCACGGCTCTCAGAGGCTCAGAGCCTTCCTTATCCACACCCTGCTTGCCTTCATTCAAGGCGCCTCAAAGGCCTTCTCTCTGCTCTGCGTTCACACATCACCCTCAGCCGCAGGGCTCTCTGAGCCCTCCTCATCCCCCCCCTGCTTGCCTTATCTCCCCAACCAGATGTCCCTGGCATCCCCAGGGGGCGTTTCAGCCCTCAAGCTCTGTCTGCTGCCGAGGCTCTCAAAAGAACATTGCTTTTTCCTGCTTCCCTTCCCTCCCTACCCACTCCCTCCTGCTTCCCCCCCCCCACACTTTCCTTCCCCCTCGCAGGTCTCCCTGACAACCCCAGGGGGCGTTGCCGCCCTCAAGGCCTCTCTGCTGCTAGCCGCCGAAGCCGCACTACGAGACGAATCCGCCCGCCCGCTGCTTGGCATCTGCGCTGGCAGTGTGGAGGAGGGCTTTGCCTCTCTCCGCCAGTACCTGCTGGCCCTCGGGTGTGCTGACCCTGTGAGTTCTGGTTACCCTGTTACCCTGGCGTGCTGGTTACCCTGTTACGCTGTGAGTGCAAGGCAGTGTGGAGGAGGGCTTCGCCTCTCTCCGCCAGTACCTGCTGGCCCTTGGGTGCACTGACCCTGTGAGTGCCGCTGACCGTGTGACTGGCGCCACTGTTACCCTGTTACTCACAATCCGTAACGTACAGCGTACGTAACAGGTGAGTCACGATCCACAAGTATACACACGCACTAGCACATTGTTGTCACGATTGGCAAGGCACTGTGGAATACTTATCCGGCTCTTTCCGCCAGTACCTGATGGGCCTTGGCTGCATTGACGCTGTGAATGCTGTGAGTTGGGGTATCTGTTTTTCATGCGCTTCAGAAAAATGTGAGTGCTGTGAGTCAGGATAGTTAAACGCAGGAACGCTCAACTCTCATTGAACGTGCTTTCTGAATCAGCTTCACTGCCTCTATCCCTCTGTCCCGTTCTCCCACACACACATGACACCCTTTTGATTTTCTTCCTTCAAGCACCATCGCTTCCTCTCGCATCCAAGCCTGACTCTATCCTTTTCTCATTGTCGTTCGACCTTCAAACCCCCTTCCACCGTTCCGTACCTCCCAACTGCAATTTCTTTGAACCAAGCAGGCTCGGTAGGATCAGCCTGGGAGGCTGGTGGTGGAGTGGCAGGCCAAGCATGGCAAGGAAGTGGTGGGGTTTGGAGAACTCTTTTCAACCAACTAGTATTATAACCTTCCAACCGCTTTCCACCACTTTGTACCTCTTCACCGCCACTTGTTTGAACCAAGCAGGCTCTGTTGGATCAGTCCGTGGGCCTGCTAATGGCATGGCAGGCCAAGCACGCCAAGGAAGCGGTGGGGTTTGATTTGGAGAAATTTCATTAACCAACCAATGGTCCGACGGTCCGACCGACCCTTTCCACCGTTTTATACCTCTTGCAATTTGAACTTGTTGGAACTGCGCAGGCTCTGTTGGATCAGCCTGGGGGGCTGCTGGTGACGTGGCAAGATAAGCACTCCAAGGAAGTGCTGGGTCCAGCTTACATCAAGTTCAACAGCAACTCCAAGGTGGGATTCGATTTGACACATCTCACAGTGGGGCCTTATGTGGTGTTCAGCTGGCTCTAAGGTACCTTTCTGATGCTGCTCATTGCAACCAAATCAATCACGCCAAGGAGGTGGTGGGGCCAGCTCACATCATGTTCAGCAGTACCTCCAAGGTGCAATTTTAACTGCCCACTGTATTGTTCCGCATGGTGTAGTGAATTCATGCCAAGCCAAGCATGCCAAGGAGGTGGTGGGGCCTGCTTACATAAAGTTTAACAGTAACTCCAAGGTGAAAATTCTAGGAGCGTGCAAAAGCTTTCCTTCGACAATCAGCAATGCTACACAAAGCATGCGTCGAGTCGAGACAGTGTACGCATACAGTGTTGCAGGTAACATTCGAGTCGACTCAAAAGTCACTAGGTAAGCATGCGGGTAAGCATACGTGACTTGCTGGTTTCTTCTCTTTAACCAGGCACAGATGGTGTGTTGGCTTGAAGTGATTGTAATGAACGATGTCAGTCGTTGTAATCGTGTTTCTCTGCCACTCCACCCATGAGTTGCTACAATCATTACGCTGCAACGCCCATGCTGACTACTGGTCTTTGTGAAATGAAGTTTTTTTTAGACATCTAAAAAATAACCTCAATTCCCGTGGCTCCTCCACTCCACCCATAAGTTCCTACAATCATTACGCTGCAACTCCCATGCTGACTGGTCTATTTTCGAGGCGCCTAAAAAATGTCATGGCCTCTCTCCTCCACCCTCTGTTACTCCCCTACTCCCATGCGTGCCATGCAGATGTGCCATGTCTCACCATACCAGACAGGGTCGTTCCGAGCAGTGATCGTTCAGGGGTGTGCGCTGCTGCTCACTCTGTGCCCCTCTATTCTTCCCCCCCCCCCCCATTACTCTGTTACTCCCATGCGTGCAATGCAGACGTGCCAGGTCTCACCATACCAGACAGGGACGTTCCAAGGAGTCATTGTTCAGGGGTGCGCTCTGTTGCTCACTCTGTGCCCCTCTATTTCCCCCCCCTCCCCCCATTCCTCTGTTACTCCCATGCGTGCCATGCAGACGTGCCAAGTGTCGCCATACCACACGGGGACGTTCCAAGGAGTGATTACTCAGGGGTGCGCTCTGCTGCTCACTTTGTGCCTCTCTCTCTACTCCTCCCCCATTACTCCTTTGCCCCATGGGTGCCAAACATGCCATTACTCATCCCTTCGCAGACGTGCCAAGTGTCGCCGTACCAGACAGGAACGTTCCGAGGAGTCATTGTTCAGGTGAGACGCATGTGTTTGAGCGAGCGAGTGTGTGTGAGTGTGGGGGGAGGGGGGGCTTTTGAGACGTCTTAAAAGACGTTCCGAGGAGTCATCGTTCAGGTGAGACACATGTGTGTGAGTGAGCGAGTGTGTGTGAGTGTGTGTATGTGAGGGGGGGGGGGGGGGGGGGGGGGGTGTGGGTGTGGGTGTGTGTGGGTGTGTGGGTGTGTGTGGGTGTGTGGGTGTGTGTGGGTGTGTGTGGGTGTGTCTGTGTGTGTGGATCATACGATCACCTTCAGTTTTGCTTGCCCGCCTAGCACAAGAAAGAGTGGCCTATATCACCTATTTCGTATTTCTTGTGCTTCCTTTTTACTCTTCCGTGCCCTCGTAACCTCCCCCATTCTACACTCCCCATTCCCCCACATTTTACACAAACTCGCATCCGCCCTCGTTTGAAACTACTAACTCGTTTTTCTAGTGGCTCTACACTAAAGCACGTCCCAAGATCCGCCCTTATCCCCCTCTATTCCACTGTGCCTGGACTCTATTCTCTCTGTCTCTCTGCCGTCACCACCACTTGGGTTACCCATCCACTCTCCTTCTCCTTTCTACCCTTTCCCACTCACTGCTCGTCCATCCATTCCTTTTCCGCCAGCCCCTTGTTCCCCACTACCCTCCCCAATTCCTTTTCCTCTTCCCCACTCCTCACCCACTCCATATCAATCCACCCACTCCCTGCCAATCCACCCACTCCTATCCCCTCCCTGTTTCCTCTCATGCCATCGCTTATTACCTGCTGTGGCCTTCCTCCCTCCCTCACTGCCTGTCCCTTACTGTCCCCTCTTCAGCGTGAAGTCTAATCCTACTATAATCATTCAACCCCCGCTCTTACTAGCGCTACCATTATCACTGTTCTTATCATTGCGCTAATTCAGCACTCCCCCTCCCTCACTCCCCCTCCCTCACTCCCCCTCCTCCCCACACAGCTCGGTCGCCGCCAAGTGGGTCACCTCCCGCTCTCCCTCTTCCTGGAGTGACTGCAGCTTGAAAAAACAAGCCCTATGTGCATGTGGCCCTGTCATGCCCTCTACCCCCTCACTCCCCCTCCCCCCTACACAGCTCGGTTGCCGTCAACTGGGTCACCTCACCTCCCACTCTCGCTCTTCCCATAGTCACTGCAGCTTCAACTGATTACTCTTGTTATTGGCTTTATTAAACAGCCTTCTCCCTCTACCCTCACTCCCTCCCCACACAGCTCGGTCGCCGCCAAGTGGGTCACCTCCCACTCTCCCTCTTCCCGTAATGGCCGCAGCTTCAAGTGGCAACCCTCGAACCCATGCAGCCCTCTCAGCTTCTCGCTCTTCGATCAATGAACACAGCTGCAATCGCCGAGTCCGACGCGGCCCCCATCAACTGCCTTCCCTGCCCTCACATGCCGCTCTCGCTCTTCCCGCAAACGACCAGTCCCATGCAGCCTTCCTCACCTGCCCGCGCTCCCTCTTTCAACAATGAGGGGAATGAGTTAATGAGACAAGCTCCCTGCCCTCACACTCACTGTCGTTAATCAACTTAACTCAGTCACCTTCCTAGTGCTTAAGCCGCTTGCACCCGTCTACGGTAGTTCATTGTAGCTTATTTACACTCACGGGTGACACTTTCTTAGGCGCCTAAAACAGAATACCTCATTGCATGGTACCGTATGGCCCCGGATCTAGGCGCCGTCCAATTAAAGGCGCCGGAGCTTCTATCTGGATCATGGCGCTTATGGCCGAAACTCGATTATAAGCGCCCCCCCCTGGAAAACCTTTACTTATTATAGGCGCACGCACATTTTTTAAATAATAAATCTGTGAAAAACGGTAACGAGATTCACTTTCGCAGCGAGTCAAAATTCATCTTCACTTCGTTTGACTCGCGAAGACCTGACTGGCTGCGCGTCCAGTCAGGATGTGCTGGCATGCCTGCAAAGTGACGTGAACTTGCCGGTGTGCAGGAAGCAGAATCGCTTGCGCACGATCCTGCTTTGTGACACTATGTTATTTCGACTCGGTTGAAACGGCAACAATGAAAGGTACAGTGTGGCACCCTAAAAGTATAAATTTGTATTTGTCATTATTTAAGCACATGCGCTTATGCCCGAAACTCAATTATAAGCGCCCCCCTTGAAAAAATCACTTTTATTATAAGCACATATGCGCTACTATCCAGGGTGATACGGTACATGATTAAGCCCTCTGCTTTGTGTGCTAGAGAGGACCTGAATGAGGTTCAAAACTTCGCGGAACTCCCACAGCTGTGATTGCATCGGCTCGTTACAGTACGAATTCTGTTACACCGCTCGAGTGGCGTATACGTGACTGACATTCAACCTGAAACGACATGCTTCCGTGATTGGTCGGTCAGCTGGATTCCGGCATGGGCCTCCATTGGTTGCAAACATCTTCCTATTCCCTGTACTCGAAAATATGGGGCTACGAACGCGTACGCTAGGGCCTATGTCTGGTTTTTGGCTACTCACGATTAGCAGTGTATCCTTTTTCAAAACCCTTCTGATTAGTGTGTACGGTAATTTTTCGTTACACTGATACATCAGTGTAACATTGAGTTTCAAAAAATTCACCCCAGAGCATCAGTGTAGTATATTTATGTACCCTTATCGCAAAAACATATTAATAATCGTTTTAGAAATCGGGAAACAACATTTTATTTATATAGCCATTCAGTCACATGTATGTACGCTCATCCTCGCTACCATCAGACGACTCCTCTCTTTCCTTTCATTTTCCAGAGCACGACTTGTGTGGGGCAGGTGTTTTTGCGGGTCTTCTCTTTTTTTGCTTCCGCCAGATATCCACCACCTCGGGCCACTTGTACTCATAGCTCAACATGTTCAGGGTCATCAGTTCGGATAGCCGGGCGTCGCCAAGCGACGTCCGCAACCAGCTTTTGATCACGTTTTGGCGGCTGAATCCGCGCTCGCACTCCACGGTACTTAGCGGAATTACTGCCAGCGCCTGCCACATGGACGTCAGGTTGGGAAAACTGTGCGGCCAATCCTTGGTCCTCAGCATTTTGTGAAGTCCCTGGTATAAGTCATCGTCCTGGTAGTGGCGAGACATGACGTGGCAGAAGCTGGCCAGCTCGAGCTCTGCCGCTCGGTGGTTGAAGCCTGCACGTGTGATGGAGGGACAACATTTTGTGAGTAGAAAGGCCGAAACAAAACAAAACAAAACACGCTCATACAAGACAACATCCACGTGTCGATAATTACCTGGCAGCCGGTTGTTGAAGAGCCGCGCGTTGGCATCCAGCCAACTCAGCACCCGACGCTCCCTCTTGTCTGTCGCTTCCGGCCACGTTTCAACTTTCTAAAGCTTGCTGCCCTCCATTTGCTTCAAGCTCCACATGCGAGTGTGCATGTTTTTCGCCATCTCCATTGCGAACGCTTTGCACAACTTGATGTAGTCGGCCATCGAGCCGCCGTATTGGTGTCCTGGTGTTGGCGTCTCGCTTAGCGCGATCTGATGTGAGGATGGCTCACCATCCGCATCCATGCCGTCCACGCGGATCGTTCGCCTGCCGCTGCCAAGGCGTGCGATGAATGGCGACAGCAGCTTGCTGACCCCCCCTCCGAAAATGTCCACGTATTCCACGTATCGAGGTCTGATGACTCCAATCGTGCGATCCACCTCTTGGTGCACGAGCGTGATGTCAACCTGAACCACAGACGGGTAGATGAACAACACATGTAAATGTTAGTGTAGAAATAAATGACGCGACTAAAAGAAATACATGCACAGTGAATCAACACTTACTTTCTTGCGCTGGAAAAACTTGTTGAGTGCGTTGATCTCTGCCAGCAGATCAGCCAAGAAGAAGAGGCAGAAGTGAAACTTCAGGGTCTGAACAGTTACCGCCATGCTGTGGTTGTACTCGATGAACACCACGATCGCCGCCCCAAGAATTTTGCACAGACGGGCCACTTCATCCCCGCGCGATAGCCAACGCACGTCGAAGAGCCCATGGTGCTCCAGTTTCGTTTCATGTATTTCGAGTTGGAGCTCCTTGAAGTGCTCAAGCCACACGGAAGATCCCATGACGATTTTGCCAAGCCCACGGATGGCGTCATCGACGATGTCGAGGTCTGTAAACTTCAACGCGACTTCTTTGACTGCGAACACTTCTCTGCATACAACATTAAAAATGCGTAAGGCTGTGGAAGTTACTCCCTTAGACGAGGCGATTGTACGGAAACAACAAATCTACCTGTGCGCTATGCAATGAGTCCCGACCAGATGTGGGACGCGCTGACGGAGAAGAACAACAAGACCGGATTGGCTGCCGATCATCACCCCCGCGCCGTCGGTGCTAGCTGCGACAATCCGCTGCAGATCAATCCCGATGTTGTCGAGGTGGCTCAGCAACACCGCGAAGAGGGATCCCGTGTCGCATTTGTGGATGGTGAGTAGAGCAAGAAATTCCTGCTTGCTTCTTCATGAAGGTTGCAAACACCACGAGGTGTTTGCCGCGCGACCGGTCTGTGCTCTTGTCGCAGCTGATGCCGATCCACGGTGATGCATGGATGTACATAAGCTGCTGCTGTTGCTGATACGTGCACATAGCCTTCACCATCTCCGTGAAGCCGTATCTGCACGGTGCGCAAAAGGGAAGGTGTGAATCCTACCGGAAGCTATACACCAAGACAGCAGCAAAGTATTGAATTTCACTCACTGCGTGATATAGACACTGTAGGTCTGCTGAGGAATGTCGGAAACACCTTCCTTCACGAGGAACTCGACGAGCCTCGGGAACATTGCCATCGGAGCGTCCTCGTCGCACACAAACTGGATGCTGCGCATAAGTCTCGTCACGCGTGCACCCTCAGGGTCAGCCCTCTCGTAGTCGTCGATTTTCTTCTGCGCCGCCAGCTTGTCCAGAAGAACCTTCTGCCGATCAATGCAGTCGTGTTGGCGGTGTCAGAATCAAGAGGAAGGAATGACTGAACTAGAAAACAGGTGGGTACAAGTAGGAAACCTATAAGTGTTGTACCCTATATGAACTACCCCACTACAGCCTAAACAGACTATAGCATATAAGTTTGACACACCCCCATAGGCAAAGTGGGGGAGAACAAGAGGTCACAAGACCAGTCAAGAAAGACAAAGCAAGCTCAAGGTGGATCACAAAGTCACCACACATTCTGAGCACAAGCAAACGGCCACAAGGCCAGTTCACATGCAGAGTTATATAAAGGAGAACAAGCAATACAATGATCACAACATAGCAAGTGTAAGCATGCAGGTACATGTATAGAGATCACAGTACAAACAGAGTCAAGAAGTAAACAAGTGAGGCACAGTAGGTACAAGGCCTAGAACAGAACAGAAATGCTGATGGTCACAAGGCTGAAGCGCCTTGGTGAAAACATCAGCAGTGTTGGCCCGAGAGGCCACGTAAGCAAGATGAAGCTGACCACGCTGCTGCAACTCTCGAGCAAGGAAGTAGCGCAGAGCAATGTGCTTCGTTCTGTGCTCCAGTCTGTGCTCCTGACACAAGGCAAGCATTGCCTTGTTGTCGACGTACAGGACTGGAGGAGAACGAGGCGCGTCTCCCAAGTCGGTCAGCAGGTAGGTGAGCCAGCGTAACTCTTGTGCAGCCATGGCCCCAGCGTAGATCTCAGCCTCACAACTAGAGCTGAGAACAGAAGACGAGCGGGTAGACCGCCAAGAGACAGAACCGGAGCCAAGGCTGAAGGTGTAACCCTGTGACGACCGCTGAGTAGCCAAGTCATCAACCCAGGAAGCGTCTGCGTGACCAGTGAGGACAACTCGAGCCCGTCCTCCAAGCACGAGCCCCATGCCCGACGTACTGCACAAGTAGCGCAACACCCTCTTCGCAGCATCCCAGTGCACCTTTCGGTGCCTACCGGGAACCACGTAGCGAGCCAGAAGGCTGAGAGGGTATGCGAGGTTAGGTCGTGTGCAAGTCATCAGGTACATGAGGGAGCCCACAAGCTCTGGATACGGGCCACTCGGCT